CCTCTCCGTGACTTCTTCAATCTTATCATTACGGTCCTCTCGTACTTATTCAATCTTGTCATTACGCTCCCGTACTTATTCAATCTTGTCATTACAGCCTCTCCGTGCTTATTCAATCTTGTCATTACAGCCTCTCCGTACTTATTCAATCTTGTCATTACGGCCTCCCCATACTTATTCAATCTTGTCATTACAGCCTCTCTGTACTTATTCAATCTTGTCATTACAGCCTCTCCGTACTTATTCAATCTTGTCATTACGGCCTCCCCGTACTTATTCAATCTTGTCATTACAGCCTCTCCGTGCTTATTCAATCTTGTCATTACAGCCTCTCCGTGCTTCTTTAATCTTATCATTACGGCCTCTCCGTACTTATTCAATCTTGTCATTACGGCCTCTTCGTACTTATTCAATCTTATCATTGCAGTCTCTCTGTACTTCTTCAATCTTATCATTACAGTCTCTCCGTACTTCTTCAATCTTGTCTTTACGGTCTCTACATACTTCTTCAATTTTATTGTCATAATTTCTTTGTAAATATCCAATAGCTTCATCGATCTTGTCTTCAACCAGATGTATTATTTAGTTTAATTCTTCTTTAAATGCTACGTCTCTTTCTTTTAACTCCTCCCTTAAATTCCTCTCACGTTCTCCTAATTTTCTATTTCTTTCTCCTAAATCTTGTTTCATCAAGTAACGCTTCACTCTAAATCCTTCACCTTTACTTACTTATTGAATTGCTGTATATGTAATATAACTGCGAATATATTACAAAACAAACCACAACATTATAAATTAGTTTACAAGAAAATATTGTGTCATATACGAACAGCTTCAAACTACAACAATATATTGTGTCTTATACGAATAGCTTCATTCAAACTACAACAATATATTGTGTCATATACGAATAGCTTCAAACTATAACAATATATTGTGTCATATACGAATAGTTTCAAACTACAGCAATATATTGTGTCATATACGAGTAGCTTCAAACTACAACAATATATTGTGTCATATACGAATAGCTTCAAACAACACAATATATTGTTGTAGTTTGAATGAAGCTATTCGTATATGACACAATATATTGTGTCATATACGAATAGCTTCAAACTATAACAATATATTGTGTCATATACGAATAGCTTCATTCAAACTACAACTTCTGTATTATGTCTTACATGCGATTTCTTTCAAACTACAATTTTGGTATTGTGCATTATACAAATAGTTTGAAACTACAATTTCTATACTGGGTCTTATAAGGTTGGTTTCAAACTACCAACCATTGTTTTCATGTTCTATCTTTCAGAGTGAGTTACCAGCCACAGTTTTCGTGTTGTTTTGTGCTTAATGTGCTCCAAACCAACGTTTTTATATTACACATACAAAGTTAGTTCATAACCGACGTTTTCATATTGTGCCGTACACAGTGTGTTCCCAACAGTGTTTTCATATTGTACCTTACACAGTGTGTTCCCAACAGTGTTTTTATATTGTACCTTACACAGTGTGTTCCCAACAGTGTTTTCATATTGTACCTTACACAGTGTGTTCCCAACCAACGTTTCCATATCACACATACAAAGTTAGTTCATAACCGACGTTTTCATATTGTGCCTTAAAAAGTGTGTTCCCAACAGTGTTTTCATATTGTACCTTACACAGTGTGTTCCCAACAGTGTTTTCATATTGTACCTTAAACAGTGTGTTCCCAACAGTGTTTTCATATTGTATCTTAAACAGTGTGTTCACAACCAATGTTTTCATACTGTTTTCTAGTTCTGTGTTATTATTATAACAGCGTATTAAATTATTCACTAAATCTCATGACATTTTCTGAAACTTTCATTTACACATGCATCTATTGATACCATTCAGATTATTTATCCAAATCAACCTCAGAAATTTGATTGGAGAAATACATAAGAAGCAAACTTTTATTAACACTGTTCTGGTAGGTAGTTACCCAAAATGACAGTCACGTTGCCTCTTTAAGACTCGCAACTTTTCATATTAAACCCAACATTTCTTTCAAATAGCTTACGCTGGAATAGATGCTGTGGTAATTTGTCTTAATGCAGAATGTCCACTAGATCCTACAAACAGTAAGAGTTTCTAAATGCATCTAACGGTTGGTTACCACTTTTATTCTATCCTTTCTGCTCTCTCAACTGCACGTGAAAATATGATTGATGGCGGTACAGAAAGGGTAGCATTTAGACAAAGCTATAATTGCACGAGTTGCCATGTGTCGTCATGCAAGCTTGCTTACCTTAGAAACACTTAGTTAGTATACGTTCCAGGCTGTAGAGCAGAAGCTGTAACGAGTAAGAAGTCAAGGTCCTGACATTTTAATAAATAATTATGTGAAGTATGACGGTCCTAGGCAGAAGGTATAAAATCCAGACAATCAAGTGGAACGTTTGGTATGGCTCAACAACTTTGTTTGTTTGAATTTCGTGCAAAGTTACTAGAATGCTATATGCGATAGTCGTCCCTGACCAAGCACCCACCGTCAACTCTCGGGCTACTCTGTTACTAACTAATATCGGGATTGGCCGTCACAATATAACGTCCTCACGGCTGAATGAGCCCAAATTGGCCCTTTCACTTATTCTATTTAACTCAGTTTATTGTTTACGTAGAGGGTTCTAGTTAAAACAGGAACAATAAATAGTGTCCTTTCGTTTCCTGTCTATAATACTTTGTGATCGTCAAAATTCGATTGATCATCACCATTTATTTCGGTTCATTGAAATCACACCAACCACTCTACCATGCTACGGCGTACATAATGGATAAGTATTACGATATACTTAACCCTTGAAATTTGGTCCGAGATTAACACATCTCCTCAACTATGTTCCCTCGGACAACGAGCACAGTACTATGTTTTATTAGTTTTAATACCTTCAACATGTATATTACCTTATGGAGATACAAATCGAGTTTATTTATTAGTTACAATTTAAAGGTTTACATTCACCCTACTTGTTTTCTGATTTCGCTAGGCATGCATCTACACATAGACGTATATCTGGCTACTGTCTTTAACTTTTCTCTGGCACATACCAATCTACAGATAGACGTATATCTGGCTACTGTCTTTAATTCTTTCCTACGGGTATCTGATTCTCTAACACGTACCAATCTACACATTGACGTATATCTGGCTACTGTCTTTAATTCTTTCCTACGGGTATATGATTCTCTAACACGTACCAATCTACACATTGACGTATATCTGGCTACTGTCTTTAATTCTTTCTCTACGGGTATATGATTCTCTAACACGTACCAATCTACACATTGACGTATATCTGGCTACTGTCTTTAACTCTTCTCTACGGGTATATGATTCTCTAACACGTACCAATCTACACATTGACGTATATCTGGCTACTGTCTTTAATTCTTTCCTACGGGTATCTGATTCTCTAACACGTACCAATCTACACATTGATGAATATCTGGCTACTGTCTTTAACTTTTCTCTAGCACATACCAATCTACACTTTGACGTATATCTGGCTACTGTCTTTAACTTTTCTCTAGCACATACCAATCTACACTTTGACGTATATCTGGCTACTGTCTTTAACTTTTCTCTAGCACATACCAATCTACACTTTGACGTATATCTGGCTACTGTCTTTAACTCTTCTCTACGGGTATATGATTCTCTAACACGTACCAATCTACACATTGACGTATATCTGGCTACTATCTTTAACTTTTCTCTAGCACATACCAATCTACACATGGATGAATATCTGGCTACTGTATATCTACCAAGGATTAAATAGAATCTTTGCAATAGTGCCATATTCAATCACGCTTCCATATTTGTTAATTTTGCTGAAAATGTAGCAAACCACAAGCCTTGACTTTACAAAACACGCACCAAGTTACTTCTTGTTTTAAAATTAAATATGTCACAACGAATATAAGAGAACGTTTCTGATGGTTTAGATCGTGTTTTTACGCCGGTAGGTTACCAAATTCACAAACAAAAAGGCTGGTTTTACGAAGTCTACGTATTATAACTAAAAAGTGGGCAAGAGATGTTTTTCGTAAGTCGATCTGAAACTCTCTGCTTCTATCTGAGAAGCGTGAATCGACTGCATGTCAGCCAACCACCATTCACACCAAACAGTTCCTATTATACAGTTTCATAGTTTTTAATCGGAACTGTTTATAATATCAGACTATTTAATACTTAGTCTGATACCATAAACAGTTCCTATTTTATTTGTGTTGTCACTCTATTTAATGTTTATATTGCCAGTTTATTCAACAGGAACTGTTTATGGTGTCACATTCGCCTTTGTGAAGCTGTTACTATCTAGTTAAACAGTCTATCGTCAAAAACAGTTCCTATTAAAGATGCTGAAATCATAAAATGTTTCTATTAAGTAATGTGACAACATAAACAGTTCCCATTAAACAGTCTGGTGTCAAACTATCCCTATTAAACATTTCCAGTTAAACATTTTGGCACCATTAGCAACTCCTATTAAACAAGCTGACAACAAAAACAATTCCAATTAAACAGTCTGTCACCATAAAGGTTTTCTATTAAATAATATGACAACATTAACAACTACATTTAAACAGTCTGGCACCATTAACAGTTCCTATTGATCAGTCTGACACCATAACCAGCACCTATTAAACAGTCTGACACCATAAACAATTCCTATTAAAAAGCTTGACACCATAATCAGTTCCTATTAAACAGTCGAACACGATAAACAACTCGTATTACACAGTCTGACACCATAAACAGTTCCTACTAAACATTCCACAAGATCTTCAGTTTGTAGGCACCAATACTTTTTACCGGTCTCGACGTCCGTAAGATTTTGAAGTGTAGTCATTCTGTCGTTTTGGTTTTCTTTTTCCACAAGACATACAGTCTCGTGGGCTGAAAGGTAATATTTAGTTTATTCAAGAGTACAACCCTTCTTTATCGATAGTTCTGGACACTGGATTGTTTGTTTGTTTTAGCGCAAAGCTACACAATAGCTAACTGCTCTGCGTCCACCACCTTCAATAATAGTGTTTTAAGCCGTGACGCTTACCACCGATCTACGGAAAGGAGGCTGTTTGTTTGTTTGTAGTTAAGCACAAAGCTACATAAAAGGTATCGAAACCCGGTTTCTAGCGTTGTAAGTCCGCAGACATACCGCTGTGCCACTGGAGGTCGAGAGGAGGTACTTTTTATCGGAATTAAGTAGGTTATTTGTATTCTATAATATATAAATCCAATTATTGAATTTAAGAGTTGTATTATTCGCGTTATTATTTAATTAAAAAGTCTTCGTCATCGCCATTAATGAAAGTAGTGTGATTTCAGATTTGACTAACGTCGTATCCTCTTGTCATATTGTTTTTATTTTTTTATTATTATATAATTTCAAGCTTAAAAGACTTTCTAGCATTCGGTAGTACCGAAATAAAATAACAAACAAGTATTCATCCGCGGTGAAATGTTTTGATTCAACAATGTTCT